AGAGGAGTGGTTCTCGATGGATGCGGCCGGCCGTTGGCTGCTCACAGGCTTTCCCAGGTGTGCCCCGAGCCTCGCGGGCGATCGCGCTGCGCTCTCTGTTGCCCCCCCCACTGGCGTGAGCAGTGCCATCGTTTCCCTCTGCCCCTCCGTTTTGTGCAGGCTTCATGCAGGGGAAGCCTCCTTCCTTTGCTACAGTCAACGCGCCTAGTACGGACGCGCGCCTTCATCTAGGATACCCTCGCGTCCATGCCTCTGTGGCCCGTCCTTTGCCGTTTTCACTGGTCGCCGCCGCCCCAAAAAATCCCAATTTCAGCCTCCAAGAGTCTTGCGTCCTTACCACGCGTCCTTAATATACGTTTTGACTGTATTGCTGGTCATTGCCTCCATCCTCCCCTGTGGTGTGGCCGACATGGCGTTGACTCTCGAGACTCCGCGGCGCATGCCTCCCTCGGGCGTGCGCCGGTGACGCGCGTGCCGTGGTGCTCGTCAGGACGGGCCTCCGTGGGCTCGGCAGGATTTTCTCTCCCTCGCCTCGAGATTCGCCGCCTCCAGGTCCTCCTCCTCCTCCTCCTCCTCCTCCTCCTCCTCCTCCTCCTCCTCCTCCTCCTCCCCCTCCTCCTCCTCCTCCTCCTCTCCTCCTCCTCCTCCTCCCCTCCTCCTCCTCCTCCTCCTCCTCCTCCTCCTCCTCCTCCTCCTCCTCCTCCTCCTCCTCCTCGTGAGATGTCGAAAGCCAGGCGCGGGAACTTTTGGTTGGCAGTGTTGAGGCTTGGCGTGGGTTTCATGTGGCTCCCGCCCTAAAGTATCTTAGCACGCTGGTACGTCCGCCAGCCACAGCCAGGAAGCAATGGAGCGGGCCACGGACCAAACTTAGGCAAAGAGTGAGACAGGCCAGTGACTCATCGGCTGATCTCACCACCACTCGTTTCTTTTTTCGTACTGGTGCCCTGCTGGTGCTCAGATATCAAGTCCAGCTCTTCTCTTTGGGATCCCTTCGGGAGCTTGCCGCAACTGGGCGCCATCTGTTTGGCTGTGCCTGGAGGGCGGACAGTTTTATTTTCACGTGGGACGGGTGGGTGTCGATCGGGAGGCGGGGGGGGGGGGGGCGATTTTCCGTCGTGTTGGGTCATGTGCAAAGCTGCGTTGATGAGGCCAGCTTTAGTTTCGATTCAGTCGTGGCCACACCAGCCTGGCTTGCTGCAGGGGGCTATCACAAACCATGGAGCTCCAGCTGCTACCAGCTTAGCTATCTAGGTCGCCTCTCGCCCCTCCTTTTTCTGGTCTTCGCGTGCCATGCGTTCTGCCTTCGCCGCAGCCGCGAGGGGACTCCCAGGTGACAAAGGGAAGGCGGCCGCAAGCGAGGCATGCCTGGCAGCATCTGCAGCCGGACCAGGCCAAGGCCGCCCGCGGTGGCTGCGGAGGTTCGCTGACGTTCTCCGCTCGCGCCTCGTCTGCTCCTCCCGCGCGCCCGGTTTCGGCCGTCGGATCACCGAGTGGTTCCTGTGGGGCAGTTGGGCTGGTGGATTTGGGGGCGGGGCGAGGGAGGCTTTGCGCAACCTGCCTCTCGCGTGGTCCTCTGCAGCGTCGAAGACTTGGCTTGGAGGGTGGACGACCTCGTCCCGCATGTCTCGCCGAACTGGCACTTGCATCCAAGGAAGTGTTTGCAACGGCCCCTTGTCGCAGTACCTCCTGGACCGCAGGCCAGTGTATGCCTTTGTGCGGGCTGCGCTATCGAAAGGTGTCACACGTAATTGTTCGTTAATGTTTGGTTCCGTCTCGGGATAAGGCTTCTGGATGACGGAGCGTATCATATCAGTGGTGTGGTTGCGCATTTCTATGCACATCGCCTTGCCTAGCAATTTGGCAGCACTCGTGCTCGGCTGTCTGCTGTCCGATCGGCTCTCCGTCTCCCTCTCATTGGAGCCCACACTTCAATTTGGGCTCGGTGGTATGCTGGCGATTTGTGGATGAACCCCTTGGGGCACACTCGACCTCTTCCTCCTTCGCCTCCCCCTCCTCCTCTTCCGCTTCCTCCTCCTCCTCCTCCTCGCGCTGCTTCTCCTCTTTCTCGTCCTTCTCCTCCTCCTCCTCGTCTTCCTCCTCCTCCTCCTCCTCCTCCTCCTCCTCCTCCTCCTCCTCCTCCTCCTCCTCCTCCTCCTCCCCCTCTTCCTCATCCTTCTCCGTCCTTCCGTCCTCCTCCTTCTCCTCCTCCATCCTCCTTTTCCCCTCCATCCTCTCTTTCCTCCTCCTTTCGTTCCCTCCCTCCCTCCCTCCGTCCTCCTCAGCGGTGTCAGCATCACCATCACCATCACCATCATCGCCATCATCAAGATCACCATCATGGCCACCACCATGCTCATCTCCATCATCATCATCATTACCATCAGCATCAGCATCATCATCATCATTACCATCATCATCCTCGTCATCGTGATCGGAATCGTGATCGGCATCATGATCATCATCATCACCACCACAACCATCATCAACACCAGCATCATCATCATCACCACCACCATCAGCATCAGCATCACCACCATCAATAATCATCGTCTTCATCATCATCCTCCTCCTCCTCCTCCTCATCATCATCATCATCATCATCAGCATCATCATCATCATCATCATCATCATCATCATCATCATCATCCCTCAGTCCCCCCCCCCTCCTCCTCCTCCCTCCATCCTCCTTTTCCTCCTTCTTCTTTTCCTCCTCCTTTTCCTCCTCGTCCTTCTCCTGCCACTGGGACCCCTTCCCAGAAAAACAGGCGGGTAGCAGCCCGATCGTCACCCTTGTTTGCCCGTAGGGGGACAAGGGGAGAGAAAATTGCTCCTCGTCGCCAGCGGCCCACCCACGGAGTGGGTGGCGGGTAGTGTGGGCGCCGGAGCACGGCCTCCGGCGTCCCCTACCCCGAGCAGGGCGCGCGGAACACGGCCTCCTTGCGTGCCCTGTCTCGCGCGCCGTTCGCGGAGCACGTGCTACTCCTGGTCTTGGCCACGAGGGCACGTACCCCGTCGGGTGGCCCGCAGGACCTGCGCCTGTGGGCTATGCGCTGGCATGTCTGTTTTTCGGTGCCAGCGCTTTGAAGTGGTTGAAGGTCCTCTCGCTGAGGGCCTGCAGAGGTTGATGTCAAAAGAATCCTCGTCCTCCTCCTCTTCCCACCGTGTGGCCTTCTCCTCCATCCTTCTCCGTTTGACCTGTTCCCCGCATCCTGAGGGTTGCTATCTGTGCACACCTCCGTGCAGGATCTCCTCCCACCCACCCCCGCTCTTCCACCTCATCACCATCAGCATCACGATCATTCACACTCATCACCATCAGCCGCACCTCAGCACCATAATCAGCACACAGGCTCCCATTCATAACCAGCAACACACACGCACGCACACCCTTTTTTTCAGCCTCTTCATCATTTGTCACCATCATCATCATCATCAATCTCAGCCAGCGTGGATTCCAAATAGATTAGACGACTCATATCAAGGAATCAAAGGAATCGAGCATGGTTGGAATCCGCAAGTCAGCAAGATAGCAAGCGTGCAAGCAAGCGCGCAAGCAAGCACGCAAGCAAGCACGCAAGCAAGCAAGCAAGCGAGCGAGCAAGCAGCACAGCAAGCAAGCAAGCAAGCGTGCAAACAAGCGCGCAAGTGTGCATGCGAGCAGGCAATCAAGTAAGCAAGCAATCAATCGAGCAAGCACGCAAGCAAGCAAACTCGCAAACAAGACCGCAAACATACATAAAGGGGGGGGCATTGGAAAAAGGGCGGGGGGGTGGGGGAACACCACCCTTATCACATCACCACCATCACTGTCACCATCATAGGCATAGGCATAGCCATAGGAGTTAACATGGGGGCATAGGAATAGGGGGGGGCAGCGGACCAATTAGTAGGGTTTGAGCTCGAACTCCTATAGGGCAAGCTTATTTGGAGAAGCATCACTATCATCACAATCGCCACCTTTATCATCGCACATTCGTCACTACCACCATCCCATCGTGATCATCGACCAAAAGGGAGCTTCTTTTGTAAGTTAAGTTTGTGGAAGTCTCAGGCGGGAGCCCCCTCTCTCTGGGGTCCGCATTTCACGTTGGTAACCCGAGCGTGGTAATCCGAGCGGGTCATCAGAAACTGTTACATGTCGTTATTGTTCTGCTCCTCTGGGTTGAATATGGAGGAAGTCTCAGGCGGAAGCTTCGTCTGTGAGTGAATTGCGAGGAAGTCTTAAGCGGGAACCTCTTCCCTATGGGTTCCACATTTTATATAGGTAATCCGAGCGGGTCATCGGACACATCTAACTGTCGTCACTTTTCGGCTTCTTTGGATTGATACTGGAGGAAGTCTCACTGCTCCTCTGGCTTGAATATGGAGGAAGTCTCAGGCGGGAGTTTCGGGAGTTTCGTCTGTGAGTGAATTGCTGGGAAGGCTCAGCCGAGAACCCCTTCCCTTATGAGGTCCGCATTTCATGTTGGTAATCCGAGCGGGCTGTCGGAAACTTGTAATTGTCGTCACTTTCCGGCTTCTCAGGCCGAGCGCGCTGCCAGATTTCTGTCAGGCCAGCTCTTCTCTTGGCGAGGCTCGCGTTCGGCTCCATCGACCGGGGACAACGCGACTTTGGTTCTCAGGGTCAGGGGGGTCTTTCCAGTTCTTAACTGGCTCTTGAATGCCTGTGTGGCTCCCCTCCTTCCGTCCTTCTCTCTCTCTCTCTCTCAATCGCGCTCTTTTTGTTTGTTTTCTCTCTCTCTCGTTCTCGTTCTCTCTCCCCTTCTCTCCCTCTCCCTCTCTCTTTTACTCGCTCTCTCGCTCTCTTTCTCTCTCGCTCTCTCCCTCTTTCTCTCTCTCTCTCTCGATCTCTCGATCTCTCTGTTATATGTATATAAGAAACGTATGCATATACATCCAGATATGTATATGTGTAAATGGGTGTCTGTGTGCATGTCTCGGTCTTTCTCTCTCTCTCTCTATCTCTCTCTCTCTCTCTTGTTTGCCCCCCCAGTGCTAAGGTTCAAGCCTTCAGTACTGGCACGCCTGATGGGCACGATTGGCTGGCTGGAGGTGAACTTCGAGCAGGGTGACAGCGCGTCGCCCAGGATCGCCTTTTTATTTTCGCGGCTCCGATGCAGTCACAGGGGACGCTTGAAGATCTCTCCTCTTCTATTCTTTTTCCTTATAGACAACTTCTCCCTGTCGCACCCAGAGGCCAGTTTTGAGGGCGGGCCTGGCGTTTCGCTTTAGATTTCCTTACCATTTATGACCCTGAAGCTTATAAAGTGACAACCGCTTCACAGATGGAGGGCGGGTGGTTTTCAGAATGTGGCTCTCGCCTTAGCGCCGCGCACATTCGTTTCCGAAATTTGCAAGCGTTTCACGGATTGGGGGCGGGTGGTTTTCAAAAGGTGGCTCTCGCCTTAGCGCCGTGTACACTCGTTTTTAACATTTGCAAGAGCTTCACGGATGGAGGGCGGGTCGATTTCAAAATGTGTCTCTCGCCTTAGCGCCGCGCACATTCGTTTTCAATATTTGCAAGAGCTTCACGGATTGAGGGCGGGTGGTTTTCAAAAGGTGGCTCTCGCCTTGGCGCCGCGCACATTCGTTTTAAACATTTGCAAGAGTTTTGCGGATTCCCATGATCAACGTACCAGAAATTGTGTTTTGGAGGGATTCAGGATTACGCATGCGGGTGCAACAGTTATGTTGGTTCGCGGTGTTGTAATCCCCCAAATGGCGTTTTGGCACGATTCCGGATAGTCAAGACGCAGCAGTCAGATTGATACGTACGCGGCGTTGAAATCCAGAGGACAATGTTTTGGCATACTTCAGGACCCTCAAACGGTTGCCTTCCAACGAGGCAGCTCCCTCAATGGATATGAACCGTTGTAGATGCCTATGAAGAGGAAGCTTAAAGGGAGGGATGCTTACAACATCGTTAATGACTCTTTCGCAGGCCCAGAGGTCGACACCAACACCAAGATCGGCGGCGTTCCTCCACCGAGGGAAGAGAATCCCGATCTCGGTGATGATGGTAGTATTCTGGCTTCCGAGGTGACCGAAATATTACCACCACCACCGAATTCTAGGATCGTCTCCACCCTGTGGAGGCAGCCCCGTGTCTTGGTGCTGGTGCCCATTTCCAGGCCTCCAACTCTTGGGTTTACACTGGTCCTCCTCCTCCTCCTCCTCCTCCTCCTCCTCCTCCTCCTCCTCCTCCTCCTCAGACCTGCAGCGTCGCTCCACAACGATGCTGGCGTCCAGGGGCCACCTCTGGGCCCCAGGGACCCGCAGCTGCTCTCCTCGTGTCTCCTTTTGTCCTGCTTCTGGGGCTCGGGAGGCCGTCTGCCTGCATCGGGCGGGGGGGGGGCGCGGGTGCTGTTCGGGAGGCGGCGTTTGCCTCCCTGCGGGCCCCCCCCCGTCTGGCGTGTCGGCCCTGGCGCTTGATCGCGCTGCTTGCACGGCACCTGGGCGCAAGCCTGGCGCACCAGCCACCTCCTCTGGTCCTTCTTCGTCGTCTCCGGAGTGGAGGAGGAGCAGGAGGAGCAGGAGGAGCAGGAGGAGGAGGAGGAGGAGGAGGTGGTGGTGGTGGTGGTGATGGCAGAACAGTATTAGGAGGGAGGGGGAGGGGGAGGGGGAGGGGAGGGAGGAGGAGGAGGAGGAGGAGGAGGAGGAGAGGAGGAGGAGGAGGAGGAGGAGGAGGAGGAGGAGGAGGAGGAGTGGAGGAGGGAGGAGGGAGGGGGGAGGAGGACGGAGGAGGGAGGAGGGAGAGGGAGGAGAAGGAGAGAGGAGGAGGGATAGGAATGGAGGATGAGGAGGAGGCGGAGAAAGACGAGTAGGCGGGGAATAATGAATAGTTCCCAAGGAAGTACCCAACTTTTTTACACATGGCGAGTATCATCAGGACGCCTAGTTCCAAGTTGACGCATGAACATGTCTGCAGTAGCCTTCAGCACTTCGCCAAAGAGCGCCTGACCTCGCTCAATTCCCTCCACTCGCGGTCAAAAACTCTTGCGATCCAGATCGGAAGCTGAGGTCAGACAACGATGAACGAACCGCGGGGCAGGAGGACGGAGGCAGAAGGACGAGGGCGCATACTTGGCGAAATGCAGAGCGCTACAGTTTCGCAGATCGCAGCCCCTCGCGGACGGCGAGGTCTAGTCTGGGCCTGCGTAAGGCGCCACTGCTCTGGTTCTCCCAGGAGCCCACGAACATTGCGACGCTCTCGCAGGTCGCAGCCCCCCAAGGACGGCGAGGTCTAGTGTCTGCGTAAGACACTACTGCGCTGTCCCTGCCAGGAGCTCACGAAAGGGGCAACAGTTTGGCGGATCGCAGACCCCGAGGGACGGCGAGGTCTAGGGTCCGCGTAAGGCTGGCCCTCCCATGAGCACCCACAAAAGGTGCTGGATGCTCACAGATTGAAGACCCCAGGGACGGCGAGGTCTAGTCTGGGTCCGCGTAGGACACCACTGCGCTGGCCCTCCCAGGAGCCCGCAAACGAGGCGGCAGTCTCGCAAATCGCAGCCCCCCCAGGGGCGGCGAAGGCTAGCCTCGGTCAGCGTAGGGCACCCCTGCGCTGGCCCTCCCAGGAGCCCACAAAAATGGCGACAGTCTGGCACATCGCAGCCCCCCAGGGACGGCAGGTTTGATTGGTACCTCGGCCCTTCCTTCTCAAGGGTTCCTTTGTCTTGTGTGTGGCGTCACGTGTCTGCTGCATGCCTGGTGCCTTGTTTTAGAGGCAATCTTGCCCTCGGAAGTATTGTGTCATCTCGCGTGTCCTATCTACTCAAATTCGACTGTGAGGCACCATTACGCTGGCCCGCCCTGGAGCCCACGAAAGGGGCAACGGTTTCGCCCATCGCAGCCCCCCAGGGACGGCGAGGTCTGGGGTCCGTGCAAGGCTGGCCCTCCCGTGAGCCCACAAAAGGTGTCACATGTTCACAGATCACAGCCCCCCAGGAACGGCGCGGTCTGGTCCTGGTCCTCAGCAGTGGCTACACTTTCGCTCATCGCAGCCCCCTCCCCTCCCAAGGACGGCGAGGCCTAGCCTGGGTCCGCACGAGGCACCACTGCGCTGGCCTTTTCCAGGGGCCCACGAAAGTGGCGACAGTCTCGTAGATCGCAGGCCCACCAGGGGCGGCGAGGTCCAGTCCGGGCCCGCGTAGTGCACCACTGAGCAGGCCATTCCAGGAGCCACGAAGGGGGCGATTGCTCAGCAGATCGCAGGACCCCCGGGGCCGGCGAGGTCCAGTCCGGGCCAGCATCAGGCACCATTGCGCTGGCCCTCACGGGAACCCACGGAAGTGGCGACGGCGTCGCAGATTGCAGCCCCCAGAGACGGCGCGGTCTAGTCTGGGTCCGTGAAAGGGCATCACTGCGATGCCCCCCCCCCCCCAGGAGCCCGCGAAAGTGGCGACAGTCTCGGAGATCGCAGTCCCCCCAGGGGTGGCGAGGTCTGTAGTCGGAGCCCGCGTGAGGCACTACTGCGTTGGCCCTCCCAAGCGCTCACGAACGTGGCGACAGATCGCAGCCCACCAGGGACGGCGAGGTCTCTAATCTGGGTCCGCGAAAGGCACCACTGCGTTGGCCCTGCCAGGCGCCAACGAAAATTGCAACGCTGGCCCTGCCAGGAGCCCGCGAAAGAGGCGGCAGCTTCGCAGATTGCAGACCCCCAGGGACGGCGAGGTCTAGTCTGGGCCGGCGTAGGGCACCACTGCGCTGGCCCTCCCAGGCGCCCGCGAAAGTGGCGACGTTCTCGCAGATTGCAGGCCCCCATGGACGGCGAGGTCTGGCTTTGGCCAGTGTAAGGTATCAATGCGCTGGCCCTCTCAGGGGCTTACGAAAGTGGCGACAGCCTCGCAGATCGCGCGCCCCCCCCCAGGGGGGGGCGAGATCAACAGAGGATGGGGAGGACAAGGAGGAAGAGGAGGAGGAGGAGGAGGACGAGGAGGAGGAGGAGGACGAGGAGGAGGAGGAGCGGCAAGAGGCAGGAGGAGGGAAGGAGGGACGGATGGACAGAAGGAATGGCGGAGTGAAGACCGCATCGCTCTATTCAAATTCAAAACGAAAGCCCAACCAAGGGAGGGTTGATAATATTTGGAAGACGAAGAATTCTTAGCCAGCGTTGATCCAAGCAATGCTTTCCTGCAGTCTATGCATTGCAAGTTTGATGGTGGAATCAACGCAGTGCAATGCAAGCACATGTGGTGCAAGCTAAGTGGTGCAATCAACGTAGTGCAGTCCAGGTTGGTGCATTCAACCTAGGTGGTGCAATATATGCATTGCAATGCGATGAAAATCGATGCAACACGCTGCAAATCAATGTAACGCAATGTAAAGCAGCGCAACGCAATGCAAGGCAATGCGACCCAGTGCAAAGCAACGGCGGCCACCTGGGGGGCCAGAGCGGCCCGCAGGCCCAGGCTACGGACGGCGACGATGCGCGATGGCGGCCACATGGCGGCCAGAGCGGCCCGCAGCCCAAGTTCCTTAGAAACGAAGTAAGAGCCCCTAAGTGTAAGCACTGTCTGGGAAACATTAAGAAGACGAATGGTAAGAATAAGAATAAAGTAATAATACATGGATTTCTAAGAAGAATCATTTGCAGCAGAGTCATGGAATAAACACGAATGTGAGGAAGAAGAACAACAACAATACATGTACGCCGTCCTCCTCCTTCTCCTAATCGTCGTAGTTGTAGCGGTAGCGGTATGCTATGCTATGCTATGCTATGCTATGTTGCGCTATGCTATGCTGCGCTATGCTATGCTATGCTATGCCATGCTATGCTATGCTATGCTATGCTATGCTTTTGCTTTGCCTTCGCTGTTGCCTTTACTTTTGCCTTTGCTTTGGCTTTTGCTTGGCACCAGGGGGCGCAACTAGGGGAACCGCGCGTTTGCTTTTACCTTTGCTGTTGCTTTTGCTTGGCTCCCAGGGGACTGGGGGAACCGCCCGGGGCGGTTTGCACTGCCCGGCCCCTTTAAGCCAAGCGAGTAAGAACCCTTAAGAACCCTTCTAGGCAGAGCCTAGGAAGGGAATAATAATAATCATAGTGATACCAATAATAATAATAGTAATAATAATAATAATTACTCCGATGGTAGGACCCCGCATGAGAATCTGTTTAGCTTACCCTTTGCCCTTTCCTCTTCCTCCTGGGGCTCCAGCCTGAGACTTCCTCACAATTCACTCACAGACGAGGCTCCCGCTCGAGACTTCCTCCATATTCATATCTCAAGAGCCCAAAAGTGACGACAGTTGCACGTTGCGGATGACCCGCTCGGATTCAAACATGAAGTGCGGGCCACATAGGGAGGGGGCTCCCGCCTGAGACGTCTTCACAATTCACTCACAGACGAGGCTCCCGCTCGAGACGTCCTCCATATTCAAGTCTCAAGAGGCCAAAAGTGACGACAGTTGCACGTTGCGGATGACCCGCTCGGATTCGAACATGATGTGCAGGCCCCATAGGGAGGGGTCTCCCGCCTGAGACTTCCTCGCAATTCACTCACAGACGAAGCTCCCGCTCGAGACTTCCTCCATATTCAGGCCTCAAGAGCCCAAAAGTGACGACAGTTACACGTTGCGGATGACCCGCTCGGATTCAAACATGAAGTGCGGGCCCCATAGGGAGGGGGCTTCCGCTGAGACTTCCTCGCAATTCACTCACAGACGAGGCTCCCGCTCGAGACTTCCTCCATATTCAAGTCTCAAGAGCCCAAAAGTGACGACAGTTGCACGTTGCGGATGACCCGCTCGGATTCAAACATGAAGTGCGGGCCCCATAGGGAGGGGGCTCCCGCCTGAGACTTCCTCGCAATTCACTCACAGACGAGGCTCCCGCTCGAGACTTCCTCCATATTCATATCTCAAGAGCCCAAAAGTGACGACAGTTGCACGTTGCGGATGACCCGCTCGGATTCAAACATGAAGTGCGGGCCCCATAGGGAGGGGGCTCCCGCCTGAGACTTCTCACAATTCACTCACAGACGAGGCTCCCGCTCGAGACTTCCTCCATATTCAAGTCTCAAGAGCCCAAAATTGACGACAGTCGCACGTTGCGGATGACCCGCTCGGATTCAAACATGAAGTGCGGGCCCCATAGGGAGGGGGCTCCCGCCTGAGACTTCCTCGCAATTCACTCACAGACGAGGCTCCCGCTCGAGACTTCCTTCATATTCACATCTGAAGGGCCCAAAAGTGACGACAGTTGCACGTTGCGGATGACCCGCTCGGATTCAAACATCAAGTGCGGGCCCCATAGGGAGGGGGTTCCCGCCTGAGACTTCATCACAATTCACTCACAGACGAGGCTCCCGCTCGAGACTTCCTCCATATTCAGGCCTCAAGAGCCCAAAAGTGACGACAGTTGCACGTTGCGGATGACCCGCTCGGATTCAAACATGATGTGCAGGCCCCATAGGGAGGGGGCTCCGGCCTGAGACTTCCTCGCAGTTCACTCACAGACGAGGCTCCCGCTCGAGATTTCCTCCATATTCAAGCCTCAAGAGCCCAAAAGTGACGACAGTTGCACGTTGCGGATGACCCGCTCGGATTCAAACATGAAGTGCGGGCCACATAGGGAGGGGGCTCCCGCCTGAGACTTCCTCACAATTCACTCACAGACGAGGCTCCCGCTCAAGACTTCCTCCATATTCAAGTCTCAAGGGCCCAAAAGTGACGACAGTTGCACGTTGCGGATGACCCGCTCGGATTCAAACATGAAGCGCGGGCCCCATAGGGAGGGGCTCCCGCCTGAGACTTCCTCGCAATTCACTCACAGACGAGGCTCCCGCTCGAGACTTCCTCCATATTCATATCTCAAGAGCCCAAAAGTGACGACAGTTGCACGTTGCGGATGACCCGCTCGGATTCAAACATGAAGTGCGGGCCCCATAGGGAGGGGGCTCCCGCCTGAGACTTCCTCACAATTCACTCACAGACGAGGCTCCCGCTCGAGACTTCCTCCATATTCAAGTCTCAAGAGCCCAAAAGTGACGACAGTTGCACGTTGCGGATGACCCGCTCGGATTCAAACATGAAGTGCGGGCCCCATAGGGAGGGGGCTCCCGCCTGAGACTTCCTCGCAATTCACTCACAGACGAGGCTCCCGCTCGAGACTTCCTCCATATTCAGGCCTCAAGTCAGCGAGTATGTGATGATGATGATGATGATGATGATGATGATGATGATGATGATGATGATGATGATGATGATGATGATGATGATGATGATGATGATGATGATGATGATGATGATCGTTCGATGCCGATGATGGTGAGTGATCGTGGGATGGTGATGCTGATGGTGATGATGATGATGAGTGGGGAGTGATGGTGATGGTGATGATGATGCGGAGGAGGAAGCAAAGAGGAGCAGAGGAGAGGGAGGAGGAGGAGGAGGAGGAGGAGGAGAGATCCTGCGCGGAGGGTGTGCAGAGAAAACAAGAACCCCACTTAGGATGTGGGGAATAAGAAGAAGAAAAAGAAGAAGAAAAAGAAGAAGAAGAAGAAGAGGAAGAAGGGAGGGGGATGAGGAGGAAGAGGAGGAGGAGGCGACCGGCAAGGAACATGAGGGGGGAGGGGGGGAGGAATATGAGGAATAGGAGGGATAGGAGGAGGAGGAGGAGGAGGTTGGAGTGAGGAGGCGGAGGAGGAGAAGAGGGAGGATGATCCTACCCTTTCATCCTTCATCTCCTTCTCGAGGAAATCTTCATACTTGCTTGGGCTGCAGCAGTTTTTTCCTGGTAGACTTATATTGTCTACCAGTTCCTTGAACACACACGAACACAAACACAAACCAACACACACGCGAACCATAGGTCGAAACTCATGGCCGCTTCGTCGGCTTTCCAGGCGACAGGGCTTCAGGTCATTGTGCGGAACACGTTCATTGACGTGGATGATCCGCGTAGCCCCAAGTGCGCCGCGCGGAGCTCTTCGACGCCACCCTCGTTCAAGCAGATCCTCAGCGAGCGCAACATCGTTGAGACTGACTTCGACGACTGTTCGGAATCCGACGCCTACGATGGGACGACAGAGCACTCAGAGATCTCCAGCGTGCAGGCGTCGGAGGACCAGTCCTTTCCGGACACGGACGACGAGTGGGAGGCTGGCAGCGGTCGGGCAACTCACGCCAGGCGCCTCTCGGACGCGAGCGGGAGCCGCTGCATCGCGCCCCGCGATCAGCCAGCCGGTTCCTCTCCGCTCAGCTGTGCCGACGGTACCAGCAGCGTCGTGGTCGGGGTGTGCTACACCCCGATTGTGAACCTGATCGTCTGCCCAAGTGTCCCGAGTTACCGCGGCGACGTCGTCATGGCGTCGAATCCTGGAGACGCCCGTCCTGCCTCGCGCCGGTGCACGAGGTGTCGCAGCCGCAAGGGCGCGAACTGCCCGTGCGCCTCGAGTCAAGCTAAGTGCCTTGCTCCAGCCGTGGGGACGCCCACACTGCCAGGCCAGCTGCACGCAAGAGGGACCTCTCGCCAGAGTGACCTTGGGTGAGGGCCCAAGGGGGCCCCCCCAGCCCTGTCTCGTGAGCCTGGAGTTGGCCCTCCCTTCCCCCCGCGGCCCCACGGAGCCGCGCACCTGCGGTCACTCCTTGCCCAGGGCCACCTCCTGCGTGCAGTGGGCAGGCTCGCACGCGCACGCCATCTCGGTCAAGAACGTCCTCGTGGACGCCGAGGAGGCGCCCAAGGCGCTCGCCGAGACCTCGCTCAAGGTCTCCTGCGCCGGCGGGCAGGAGGGCATCGTGGTGGAGCGCCTGGTGCAGAGGTCCCCGCTGAGCGGCAAGGCCCACGGGCAACGTCGGGGGGCCCCCTCCTCCCCCTCCTCCCCCTCCCCCTCCTCCCCCTCCTCCTCCTCCTCCTCCTCCTCCTCCTTCTCCTCCTCCTCCTCCTCCTCCTCCTCCTCCTCCTCCTCCTCGCCGATCTGACGGCGATGTATCGCCGATTCCAGGTCGATGTTCCCCCCCCTGGGCAGGTCCCCTGGTTTTGCGGTTCATGTTTCGGGTCTCCAGCGGCCGTTCAGGACGCATCTCGGCGAGGCGCAGCCGTTGGAAGGCACCCCGAGGCTGATAAACCGCGAGGAGCCAACGAAAACGTCCGAAAACCTCAAGCCTCGAACGTCCCCCCTCCAACCCAGACGCCTAATGCCATTATTTTTGTTCACGACGTGGTCTGGACCCATTCCCCAGGACCGCTTTTGCGTCCTGAGTCGTCTCCTGACGGTCCCGAGGCCCTGTCAGGGCCCCCAGATTCCGAAAATATCGAAAAGCCTTCCGTCGTATTCTTTTCACACGAGGGGGTCTGGGAATGTTCCCCTCAACGTCGGGGCAACGTAAGACTCGAGTACGCCGGAACTCGGGTTTGCCGACGCGCGAGCCCGTCCTGGACTTTGACGGTCCAGTTTTTGTGGGACGCTTGCAGCGGGAGGTCGCGCCCAGTTGCAGACTGGGTCTCGTCATTCTCTTGACGGCCCCGTCGGGCCAACCCGAAGCCCCCCGAGCCCGAGTCTGACGCCTCCCCGGCACAGGCTTAAGTCGTGCCCGTCCCTATGCAGGAGGAATATTAAGAAATAGTAAACAAATAGTCTGGGGACTGGTTTTTTTCAAGTATTTTTTGAACATTTTAGAGTATGTTTTGAGTACTTCTTATTTTTCGGCGACAATCCCCCTGGAGGGGACACGCCCGACGTCAGCACAGGCGCGGGAGTGGCTCGCGGCCCGCGGCGCCGCAGGCCCGGCTGCGCCGGCGGCGGGCGGGCGCACGAAGCTCAGCAGCGCTGCCCGCGCCTGGCAGCCCACGGGCGGGGACGCCGCGCCGGCGCGCGCCGCGCCGGCCGCCGCGGAGCCGCCGCGCGAGAGGTCGCCCGAGCCGCCAGCGCCCAGCACGCCACAGGTCAGGAGGGAAAAAAACACACAGACACAATTAATCGTCGATCCCCCAGAAAATATGGGAAAATACGGGAAGTGGGGGGGAAGACAAGAACCCAGAAAATATGGGAAAAGATGGGGAATCTTTTCATTTGTGTGTATTTATTTGTGTGTCCTGGGGCCCCTTCAACAGGTCTCTCGCGAGGCGGCCTCCCAGGTGGGGTCCGAGCAGGGTCGGGGGTGGACAGACCTCCTGCCCTGACACGTCGATTGAGGAATTGGCCGTTTTCGATTCGCGAGAGGGCGTCGCGGCCGTCAGGGGGGTCCAGGTCTGTCGGTTTCGGTTCCAGGCCGTTTTCACTAAGGGGAGGACTACTAAAGGGAGGTTTGTCCACCGCCGACAGGGGGGGTCGCAGCACCGCGCCGCAGCGCCGGTGCATCGGCGATGCGGCTAGATGTGGAGCCCGATTTTCTTCAAGCCGACGGCGCCGATGCGTGGCCGACGTCGGCGATGCATCGGCGATGCGCTGTCGATGCCGCGTGATGCTCCGACCCCATGTATTCGGACGCCACTTGGGAGGCCTCTAAGGTCGCAGAACAACCCTGAGATCCTGACGTTGGATTGTTTTCAAAACGGGGGTCTTCGCAGAGTTTCGGGCCCCATGGCCCGCACGGATCGATCTGGCTCGAAAAATGATGCAGAAATATCGGGTTTTGGGTTCTTGTCGTGATGTTTTGCAATGTTGCATGTTTGTTAGCAACGTCGGATCAAAGGGAAACGGCGGCATAAACATGATTTCTTGGAGCTCCGCGCGGATTTCTTGGATCGGCGCTGGGCTCTCCTGACGGCGCCTCTGGCGCCGCCGCTGGCGCGCTACGCACGCCAACGGAGGGGTTCCAGCGCCGATCCCAGAACTCCGTGCCGACCTCCGAGGAAGTACGTGTGTGCCCCTTGGAGTCCCTCCAGCAGGGCGCTCCAAAGTTTGGCTCCGCGCTGCTGCGGTGCCTGGAGGAGGTCCTGAGGAAGAGTGCCTTCGTCGCCGGGGTCGACGTCTCTGCGGGCGTCGGGGGACGCTGGTGCGTGCGGATAGACATTCGCAGGAAGCACCTCTACCTGAAGGAGCACGTGCTGGCCTGCGCCCAGGAGGCCCTCTTCGACGTCCTGGACGAGCTGCAGGCGCTGCGCGCCAGCGCGCCGCTGGCCGGGCGCTGTATCCCGGCGACGGTCTTCAATTTGAAGGTGGAGTGCCCGAGCTCCAGCTGAGCGTTCTGTCCGTCGGCTCGGCGCCCCTGGAGGCCAGCAGGTTCTGGCGGGGTCTTGGCGTGCTGTGTCGATGGGCTTGGCTTGCATCAGCGGGACGCAAAGTCCCTCCCGATACGGAGTATTGAGGTACTGTGAAGCACCTTCCGGACACCAGTCCAGGGTGTGTTAACACGTTGTGTGGTCCAACTGTGTTTTTTTGGGGTCAGAGCGCTGCGCGGAGTTCCGTGCTGGCTGCCGCCCGCTCGTGCTGGCATGGCCGCGCGAGACGTTTGTCGTTTGCTTTGCTCGCGTCTTGCTCCGCTGAAGGTGTTCGGGTGCCTGCGGCAGGCTCCACCGGCGTGCCAGTGCATCCCTCTGTACGGCGACGGGAGCCCCCCGGGGAGGGACTGTAACATGGGAGAGGCTTGTTTTCCGCAGCCTCGGGAAGGGTTTTCAACAGCACAGCTTCCCTGCAGCTCGAAGACCGCCGTAGCATGTGACGCCTCTGCGTTTACAGTGTAGTGTCTACAGTTTGACAAAGCGGGCTGTGGCATGTAGCAGTTCGCTTCCCAAGCGGAGATAAGGTCGTCGAAGGAGGATACGATTTTGAGAGAGGGGGGGAGAGGGAGATAAAGAGAGAGAGAGAGAGAGAAACAAAAGGAAGGAGAGGGAGAGAGAGAAAGAGAGAGAGAGAGAGAAAAACAAAAAAAAGAGATAGAGAGAGAGAGAGAGAAACAAAAAAGAGAGGAAGAGACAGAGACAGACAGAGAGAGGGAAAGAGAGAGAGAGAGATGGAAAGAGGGAGAGGGAGAGGGAGAGAGAGAGAGGGAGGAGGCTCGCGCGCTCGCTAACTGCGCATGGCCGCGTCTCGAGTGCCTCGATGGGGTCTGTGGCCGCAAGGCGTTCGGGAGGCACTGTGCTCCCGCCGATGGCAAAACTCTAGGGGAGCCCCTCCCCCAGCAATCAGCATGGAGACTCCCTGATTGCAGCACAGGGTCGAGAGGCCTGTACGTTCAGACAATATCCCGGAGACGCAGAGGGGACGGGAAGGACACAGCGGCAGTGGGTGGGCGGCGGCGGCAGGAAGAGGCAGGGGAGAGGCCGGCCAGCCAGGCCGAGGAAGATTCAAAGGAGGGTACAGCATGCCCCCATGACAGCAGACGAAGCGAAGGGCCACGTTCAGAACCCTCGCGATACAAACATATCGCAGCCGAAAATGCTACTCGCCATTCGATTTGCCAGTACACTTGCCTTTGCTTCGACCTTTGTTTCGACAACGGCCTTTGGGGTGCACCAAGGGGTCCCACTCTCCCCGAAATTGTACCCGACCGCGCTCAGAGACCGATCCCAAGGAGGCCAGTTGTGGCCTATTCGGAGGGTTCCGAGGGGGCAAAGGAGGAGGCATCGACGGGGGGAGATTGGGGTCGGGGCTCATTGGCCCCTCCTGTGGCGGCCTATCCTTTGAGCGTATTCTCCGGCGAGTTCTGGCAGCGCCTCTCCCGGGTGGTCTTCGGGGGATGGTCCCAGCTTCGCTGTGCTGCCCGTGGCCGAGGACAGAGCCGTGAGGATCGAGCTCATCTCTTCGTCAAAAGGAGTCCAAACTATGGCCGCAGCCAAGAGTTCGACCTTGGCCTCACCATAGTTCGATCCTCACGGCTCTGTCCTCGGGCCGATCCTCACGGCCTCCTCCCTGGCGCGTCTCGGTGCCCCTCGTGACAGAGGATCGGACTCATCGAGATCATGAGGCCTGACTGCTTCTGAGCCCAAGCGTCGACAGGCGGAGGAGGAGGAGGAGGAGGAGGAGGAGGAGGAGGAGGAGGAGGAGGGAGGAGGGAGGAGGGAGGAGGAGAGGAGGAGGGGAGGAGGAGGAGGAGGAGGAGGAGGAGGAGGAGGAGGAGGAGGAGGAGGAGGAGGAGGAGGAGGAGGAGGAGGAGGAGGAGGGAGGAGGAGGAGGAGAGAGGAGGAGGGCGAGGAGGAGGAGGGGGAGGAGGGGTGAACGAGAGGCGGCGCGCCTCCCCTCACGAGGGCGGCCTTCGCCCGCCAGCAGCGCAGCGCCTCGCAGGCGACGGGCACCGGCTGCGACTGCAGGTGAAGCATGGGAGCCTCCAGCGACTTCGGATGCTCCACTAGGTTTGTGGAAGTCGATCAGTGGATAGCAAGCATGCTGCGAAATAATTCCCAGATGTCTAAAACATGTTTCACACACATTTTAAACACGCACAAACATGTTTGAAACATGTGTCGAACATGTTTTACACATTTTAAACACATGTTTAATTCAATGATCGGATTGTTAGTGTGTCCATTGTCGTGGCATCCACAACACTGGGCGCGGGTTCTGCCTGAGGACCTCCTGGGTGCTGATCACCCCGAGGGCCGCGAGCCCGACATGCGGACTGGGTGGTCCCAAGCCGTGGTCCGTGGGCTTCCCCTTTACCGTGTCGGCGAACTCCCGAGCGGCTCCGATGGTCGCGTAGTTGAGCTGGTGCTCCTTGGGCACGAGGTGCGTGCTGAAGAGGCATCCCTCTAGAGCTCGCTGCCGTTGAGCTGTATTCAGGTAGCCCTTCATCACCTCCGCGGCTGTCTCGTCCTCCGAGTCGGTGTCCTCCACGATGGCCGCCGAGTCGGAGGGGCCTGCCTTCTGCCGTCGGTGCTTGGGCCCGTGCTCGTGCGACTCGCCGCTGCCGCCAGCGGTCAAGAAGCTCGTCGGTGAGGCTTCTGCTAGGCGCTTCTTCGCCTTGCCAGTCTCGCTCTGGCCGGCGATCAGCGCCCGCGCCATCGGGGCCAGCGAACGAGAATGTGGCGTCTGAGAGGTCAACGTGCGTGCGAATATGCCGCTGGAGATCCACGAGCGACGGATGGTCAGCACTGCACGCTGGATATTCGAAACTCAAAGTAGGGATACCATCGTGATGTATCGGGCTGCGGACGCATTGGCAACTTCGCTTGATGAATAGTCTGCGAACATGATGCCGACAGATCGCAACTGTCGAGCGCGTGCCCATGCACCATGGGCGTTGGTTGGTGACGGTGAGAAGCCGAGGCAAGGCCCGATGTCCGTGGCTGCCTTCCGTGCTGAACCGCATGTGTGCTTACCACCCTTGCTGATTATGAAGCTCCAGCCCACTCTCCGTGCCATCAGCCTTCGTTTCCATACAACGCCGGATTCGAGGATGGGGGTGTGGGGTCAGGGTCTCCAGAGCCTCCATGCGCAATCCCTCCACCTTCCTCCACCTGCCCCCTGCCAATCGCGTCAGCCTCCCCCTCCCAGTGCTTGTTGCGGAGCTCGGCAAAGTTTAATTCGGAGAATTTCGTGTTGCATTCGCCCGTGAAAACCTTAAGGTGTATGTGTCCCATGGCGGCGAGGTGTTCGAGGCCCTTTTCAATATGAACCATCGTGTTAAGATAATCGAGGACTTGAAGGGCCCAGGGGTTTCCACGTATGTGCCCATTATCGTCTCTGGTAAGCAATCCATGTTCAACTGTCGGGTACCTCTCGTCGCACATCTGGCCGAAAAGTGCCGCGAGCAGCTGTCGATTCTCTGAGCGGTAGGTAGCCACCTCCTGCAGCCAATGCAAACGACGTATGCGAAGCTCGAGCTGCGAGGGTGCCAAGTCAAGCTTGACCCAAATACGCACTGCTGGGTGAGAAACATGCTTCAAACTGCCGTCAGCCTGCAGGATCTTGAGCACTGCTGCACCTCCCAAGGGGATCCGACCCCACTGAAACAACAGGCCATCAATAAGCGTAAAGTCGCTGGCCGACGGAATGAACGCCTCGAGACCACTGAGTCCAGCAGACTGCACGCGCGCCTGGAAAACGAGGCGCTGGATATGAAAAGGTACCTGCTTTACACATCAAAACCTGCCCGTAGCATACCATGCGCTCCTCATGTGTTTGTTGCTGGACACGCCTCCGTTGTGCCGTGGCACCCGCGCCATGACATCGTGCACCAGGGTACTTCGCATGCGTGCGTGCATGCCCAGGGAGAGCACGTGCGGGGTCAGTGCATGACCGAGATTCGCCAAAGGCGCCTTTGCCCACGAAACGGGGTACTGGGAACAGTTTGTCATGGTTCGGGTCGCCGCCCGCGAGGGCAAGGTGATGAGAGAAGCTGGCGGTGGCTGCACAGGCCTGGTCGGCCAATGCTGAGGCTGTAGGGGCTGCGACCGTATGAGCTGCGCCATCCAATTAAACCGTTGTCGACAACTCAATGTCCTGACCTGGGATATCATTCATCAGGCTGTTGCACAGAAGGTCGCGGCCTCCAGGCTGAGCTTGTCGCTCTGCAGTCCGAGGCGTGAGTACTGCACGGTCGAAGCTGCGGAGATATGTGACGGGGGCTGGCTGGTGGCCCTGCAAGACGCCCTCTTGGATCTGATAGCGCCCCACCCCATCCGAATAGTTCAATGTAATCATATTATGATGGTTGCTGTATTGTCCAAACTAGATACCATCTGTATGAAGAGGCTGTGTTTCATTCAGTAACTCAGCATTACTACTCTCAAAAGCATTGGCCTCATCGTAACAAATCGTACAGTGCGACTTGCGTAGGCGAGACAATCGCCGTCCCATGATTAGCTGGATCTTTATGGCAGATTCGCGTCGCCCATGCCAGGTGCAAAAGTGGAGGCGGCCTGCAAACGTGCGCTCTGGGCAGCATAGATCACCTCGCTGCCCCAGGTGCCTGCTGTATGCCTTGCTGAAGGGGCACATGCGATGAACTAGGCGAATGGAACGGAGGCCAAGTGGGGTAGCCGCGGGTTTGGGTATGCTGCATACCCAGGAGCGGTGCCAGTCGAGTGGTAGGCGGGCCCCTCCTCGGACGTCCCAAAGGAGCCCTCGAACTCGACGTGAACACCAGGCCATATCAGGGAGTGTCGCAGCGAATTCATATGGTTGATCTTTGTATTTGGAGTGCCGATGGCAGGGGAGGGACATCATCCGATAAACTTCCATGGGTAGGCTCCATGGGGTGGCCCTCTTCCTGTGGGCCATCTGAAGGAGCGACGAGCATATT